AGCTGGAAGAGCTTCCGGCAGTTACCAGATGCAGCTGCTGCTTCCAGCTCATTAGCACGCTTCGACCACCAGGCTTCTCGGTCCTTACGCAAGCTTTGCCCAATTTCCTCACGTAACATCCTTCGTTTATGGTCAAACTCACGGTCACCCGGAGTAGACCGACGGGCTTCAATGAGTTGTAAGGAACCAGAAGAAACCCAGTGCTTAAAAGCGGGACGTTTCGCAAACCCACAACTGACTGTTCCCGCCATTTTCATGGCGTCATGCAATTGCAACCAATGCTCATCTATACTTTTCGGTGGAGTGGTAGCTAGCCTAGAGGCTAGCTCGGTTCGATACTTACTTGCAACAGAAGTTGCAACCAGCTTGCTAACATCAATCCGTTGATGGCGTTCACTTCGTTGTCCACTGAAAAGTAAGGTAAGATTGGGGCAGACCAAGGCATGGTCAGAGTCCAGATAGGTACTCCAAAAGGAGCGGCAGTCTTGCACACAACCACGCCAGCGGTAGCTGATCGCGATGTGATCAATCTGAGTCCAGGCTTGAGATGCAGAGGGAGGACGCCAGGTGGCACATCGGCGATGACTGTGCCGAAAGTTAGTGCTAGCCAGAAACAGGTTGTGGTCTGTGCAAAGTTGCAGTAGACGGTCCCCGTTATCTGACCTGCGACCAACGAGTCCCCATCGGCCACCTAAACGACTCTCTTCTGTGCCTAGACGCCCGACCTGAGCATTCAAGTCTCCGGCTAGTACTACAATATCTGTCGAACGCACTTTCTGGAGAAGAACAGATAACTGGTGGTAAAACTAATCCTTGATTGCATCCGGGCTGCAATCTGTCGGAGCATAGGCGGAGATGACGAAAAGACATCGTTTCTCACGCCGATTTCTTCTCACTTTGATGGAACTTTCTAATCTAACAGCACATAACCGAGTGTTAATGGGGATCCAATCGACTAGTGCTGCCTCAGCTCTTGCGCTTAGTGCGATACCAACGCCAGCAAGACCAGACGAAGATGTCACAGGGTCCCCGGATAAGCGCACGTAAAACAAGCTTTTCGAAGTGACAGATGGAGATCGAATTTGTAGTACTTCACCAGAGTCTTGAGTACGGGTCTCGGATAGACAACACACGTCGATATTAAGACTTTCCAAAGACATAGCCAGCCCTATCTGTTGTCCGACCTGCATAAATGTGCGAACGTTGAAGGCAGCCAGTTTGAATGGTGCACGTGGTTTCAGAAAATCTGCTTCAGTCCTCGTATTCGGTGGTAACATACAATTTTCAACCGGACAGTGACTCGAGAACGTTTAGATACAGTCGGATTTCCACCAAAGACGAGCCGCTGTATAAGTATAAGAGAGGGTGAATAATGTGGAAAATAATAATAATAATGATAATAATAACAATAATGACAATAATAGTAGTAATAATAATATTAGTATCAATAATGACAATAATTGTAATGATAATAATCTGAATCAATTGTTTGTTTTTCAAAGCGAGAAAGGTAATTTCCATAGGCATAAAGAGTTCATCAATTTGTGTGTGGGCTGTGATACTGCCCGGGTGCCCAAACCGAAGCAGGTGGTTATCTTAGGGGGCCACACCCCGAGCCTTTGACCTAAAGGTCTAACCCACAAGGCAGTGGCGCATCGTAAGGAGATGCATTCCCATGGTAGCCGGTGACCAACGATTGGTTCATACGCCATTCGTTCCCGCAGGATACTGGAGCCCATGTGCACCATTGATTTGGAATCCGGTTAAAGCGCCGGACATTCGCTTTTCGTCCTCTCATTTTCGTAAACAACACCCCCGCCACGAGAAGGCAATGAGTAGGACTTCCCTGGCAGAGGCTGTATACGCGTGGCCGTGTGAGAGTATTTCGAGAGGGAGAGCGGACTCTCCCCACTCTCGGCCGTACCAGGGCATTCAGGGGGCCCAGGGCATTCAGGTGTGGTTTAGTTCGCTTGTGTATGAACTACGTATGTCTGAAATAAACGATTCATACAGCAGAGGCTGATATAACTCTAATGAATGTATGTACAAAGAGTAGAATAAAACATGATATTTTGTTTCTTTTACCGACTAATATTGAATTGTAAAAATGACTGTATCACTAAAATCACTAGTTATTATACTATGGTGCTTGAGACATCGTTTCACGTGTCCCGCCTCAAAACATCTCAAGGATACATAATTATGTTTACTATTCAAATTATTGCTTTGTTTCATTGGTTATTAAGTAGTAATTGAAAAGTATAATGTTACTTAATGTTTTGTATTTTGTATAAACTTATCTTTGCAAAAATTCATATAAAGTAACAGTCTCTTTACGCTAGGAACAGTGTAGATTTGTAGAAATTATTTAGTGATGTTTCTTATTGTCTACAATGTGATTTTATTGGAGACAATATATGATAAAGAATTCCTACGGGACTTTTTTTATATTGTAGACAGAAAGAATTATTTAAAACTGAATAGGTTAGTTGATAACCTTGTAAATAATTAAATAAATGTCAATACTAATACAAAATTGAACGTATGATGGTTTATTTATATACTTGAAAAAAGATTCTTACAAATAGATATACATTTACTGGCAGTAAATTTATGTTTTCCCCATCGGTATGATTAGCATTATCAATCACATGCATAATCTTAATTACTTAACTGTATTCAAATTTCACTAGTTGAAATCATGAGTCAATTGAAGCTAGACCACCATGGAAAACCTGGAAGCACTAGACGGCCGTTTCATCCTAGTATGTGACTCCTCCGCAGTGCTCATCCACGATCCCTCACTCCGCGAGATTCGAACCCAGGACCTGTCAGGCTTAACCATCAGAACACTGAACCGGCATCCAACGGTGTTAATGTCTAACTTCATCCAATCCACGAAATTGCGCCACCGTCCACCATTGTCTTCGGTGAGCTGATATCTCACAACAGACCTGGCTGAACTCCACTGGTAACGGCTTCTCACTAGAACTCCAGGAAATGCCTCTTGCAGTCACTAGTGAGTAGCTGAGAAGTCCCATACTCGGACGAAACGGCCATCCAGGTTTTCCATGGTGGTCTAGCTTCAATTGGCTCATGATTTCAACTATTGAAATGACTAAAATCTCCACAAAACCCCTTCTGTATTCAAATTGTTCGCATTTCTAAGTCCTACAAAATTCTATCAACTTTTTAAATAACTTGAGTGATTCTATTAGTTTAATTATGAGTTGATTTATAAAATTCTACTTATCGAAAAATAATTATTTCCTGTTTGTTAACGTTTTTCAAAATTATTGTATTTCGATAAAATTATCTTATTATTAGGTAATGGACAGAATGGATCTAGATAAATGATTACATAAGTTAAACTATAATTCTTAGTATACTAAGGTTTATTGAAACCTTAGCTATACAGAAATTGAGACCCCATTTATGCGTTCAAAAACAATTTGTCCTTACCCTTAACCTACCCTGGTAATACTGATTTATTATCCAGAGTGGTTATCACGTTGTTTTGTGTACTTTATTTATTTATTTTTCTTTGTCATGGCTTACCTTTAACCTGTCTAGTTGACCTTTAATTTTCATATAAAAATGTTAACAAGTATATGTATGATCAGATTATTCGAAATGTATTGTGCAAATATATCTCATGATTCTAATAAACTTCGTCTTCTCATTGGATTATCGAGATTTATCAAAGGGACTAATTGTTTTAAAATTCTTAGGATAAATTGTTCACGATTTAGTTTCTTTTTCAATTAGCAAGTATTATACTTGTTATGAAAACTAATTCAACTAGTGGTATCCAATGTTTATATGAAACAAATTTAATAAACATGATATAATCACAGTACTTTTTCAGTACACTTATTAAAAATGGATTAAAAATATATAAATATACATTTGACTTTCTACTCTTTTATGTTAGATACTTATCTTGAATGTTCTTTCTCTCCTTCTTACTGTTTCTATTTACTGAATGACAAAAACAAACACACGCAAAATATCAACTCTACAACCGCGTGTACTATCATGTAATTTATTGATTATCATATATTCATTACAAGACATTTATTCATGATTATCTCCATCTATTTTTTCCTCCTGAAATCGTTATTTTGTCTATATTGCTAATTCAAGTAACTTTTATATTCACCATCTTCACAATTGTCACATGTTCTTTATTCGTGTCATTCTTAATCACATTGCATTCGTTTTCTAAATACAATAACATAATTTATGATTCATAAATATGCATAATTTTGTGGCCTAATAACATTTCAATTACTTTAATGATAAAATATCAATTCATTGTTTATATAAATGTTACTTTCTCACTGTAATCGAAATTCGTTTTAGATTACTTTTTTCATATAGTATTACATGTGTGTGTGCGCGTTTTTCTCCAGAATAATTGTCTGAAATACATCCATAGAAGTTGTTATATGCTAACTAATTTCACTATATCATGAGTTAATTTATTCTTAAAGAAAAGCCATTCATTACAGATTCTGAAAATCATTGATGAAGTAGTTTCTATCCTAAAAGTAGATAACTTTTGGATTCCTTATAATATTACGTAATGTAGTTATCGAATAGTGATATATATTGTATAGTCTTCGTCTCTAATAGTCCTCAGTTTCTAATGCTGTTGAGAGCGATTAGATGACTAAATTTTCCTTGTATATTACCTTGATCCGTCGCAGGATTATGGGTATGCCTTACTGAGGAATCCTATGCTAGGACGAAATATCTGTCCCGTAGTGCTTCTCACTTTTCCCATGTACCCTAACTAAGTTCAATCTGTAACAAATAAAATAATTTTCACAAAACAAGAATATGTACGCGTTATCATTGTTATTAAATTCAAACCATTATCACTTAATAATTATCCTATTCCTTTTTTCATTGATTATCTGAAACTATAATTGCATTTTGAAATGTATAATTCTTATTTGTTTATCTACTTTTTTCTCCATCATTTCTTATTATAGATTTATATGATCACTGAAGCAATTACAGATGCTGGTGTTCTATTAGGTTTACCACGCCCAATCGCACAGAAACTAATTGTCAATACTATATTAGGCTCAGCTGTAATGATGCAAAAAACTGGCAAAAGTACAACTGAATTAAAAGTAAACTGTTGTTACATTTATTATATACATATATACATATGTACAAGTTGAAACAGTGAACGTTCTTAGTCAATTAAATTACAATGGTAGCATACGTATTGACCTAGCATCATATAATAATGATTAGTGTATATCAAAACAATGTAATAAGGATACATTTTTCTTTAATGACTCAATTTATCAATACTAGTATCTTCAGAAAAAAGTCTTTCTTTATACTATAAATGTGGTGAAAATTTGCTTTAACAATGCCTTGATCTTTTTTTTAAAAAAAGTGAAAAACTGTATCACGTAATCACAACCGATTAAATACAGTTTTGTTGTCATATATAACAAAGTTTATACCAAACAATAATTAATCTACTAGAAATCATTTGAGATGATTACAAAACAGAAATTAATAATAGTAAAGTAACGTAACATTTAAAATATAATGTAGACTAATCAAAACGATATCAGTGAGATCGATAAATAACTCATTCAGAATGGGTACTTTCAATCATCATGTAATTTGAACTGGATAGATCATTGGTTGACATTTGGGGGGGACTGGTTTGAGTGTTAGATTTCAATTTGGTTTTCATAACTTCTACACCTTGAATACACCAAAGACGTAACGATTATATTTTTTAATTAACTGCATTTTATATACATTTCAATGAATAAATCTATTAGTTATGATTAATAAGCTTATTCATTTAAATGAAAATTCAATTTTCTACCGACCACAAGTTTTAAACTATTATTGTAAAATATTTTCATTGAAATGTATTATTTTATGATTTGCATTTCATGTAGTGTATTATTGAATCTGTTTATATTACTGCTATGATTAATTTTTATAGGTTTATTCTAAATTGATAAGAATCAAACTGTATATTGTCACTTTATTGTTAAGCATCAAAAAATGAGAAAAATATTCCAGCTAAACTACTATATGTCCTAGGACTTAACAGCATGGTTTTTCCTTACGGGTAACCGGAGATAGTTAGATTTAATTGTTCACAATGAGGAATACGTTTATGCTTCCATGGATCTCCATTAAAAGCAGTAGCGTTCAGAAAAATTATGACATATTGCAAAAATTTAGCACTAGAGAAACTTCAATTATAATCGGCATCAAGGAGTTGTTTCCAATCTTTACAGTCACGTTCCATAATCGATAAAACTATCAATATCAATTCCATCCTTTTAGTTATTTCAAGAAGAAATAATCTTAGATGTATGATATTAGAATGTGTCAGTCACTCACACATCTATAACACTACTGAAGTTTAACATAAATCTAGAAAGCGTTAGGGATTTCGGAAAAATGAAGGAGTTGAACAACTCAAGTATGTAGATTATCATAAGCCTCAAACAAATAATCCCATCTAATAGTGTCAAAAGAAAATCTGTTTTTTAATGTGCCCTCTACTGACTGATGAAAAGTAGTTTACAGTGGTTAATGATAAGTTTCGTTTTCAAAATTTTGCTAACTGTATTTTTAGTTGTGTCGGAATGATTATTTTATAGTTTTTCTTTATTAAAATATATATATCTGTGTGTTTGTACAGAATGAAGTTTGCTCACCTGGCGGGACAACAATTCAAGGTGTTTATGCTTTAGAGAAAGGTAATCTACGAGCTACACTTATGGATGCAGTGCAGAAAGTTTGTGCACGTGGAGAAGAATTAAGCAAGAAGTCCTAATGTTTTATGCACTATTTTCCATAGTTCTGTTACTCTATGAAGTGTGTGTAATATTTCTTCTATATATTATTATAAACATCATATTCAATAACAATGTTTGTTGTATTTAAAAGTGTGTATCTGGAAAATTTTTCAGTTACGATTTATTGTGGTGTTAAAGATCTTTGTAAGGGAATTTTACTCAACTAATAGAGGACTTCCTTACATTCTCGGCTCTGTACACTTTTCTTTCATAATACAGTGTATATTTATTTGATAATCCTATAGATAGGCTACTTCAATCATTAATGTTATAACTCCAGTGGCTTATTTTCAGTTTTTAATTATGTATTTTTACTGTGAATGTTTTCTTGCTAGTTAAATCAATTACTTGAACGTACATTTTGATACTAAGATTTAGAAAAAAGTGAATTCGTATTTCTCTGTTTGAATTGTTTTTCAGTACTTTACTAACTATTCTCTGTTGTTAATTGAGTTAAGTTTAAGTAGAGATTTCTGTGCACCTACTAACTTGGTTCCATTCATTTATTAGAAAAAAAATGGTAAGTTGAGATGATCATTGAATTTCAATATTTTTATCGATAAAAAGACCTGAACACAATATAAGTATCAACAGTCTTGGTTGGATAGAACATTAATGACTAACTAGTTGGTTATAAGGTAATTAATATTAAGATGAATAGAATTATTAATTAAAAAAGAGCACCATTGTTAATTGTGACCAGGTTAAATTATTAACTCAGCTGATTATATACGTTATCATGTCAGAGTGACTATGCATATATAATATCGTTATTTGTAAGCAATGATGGATAGCAGTGGAATCCAGGACGCGCGTTTCGTCCTATTTGGGACTCGTCAGCTGGATGTACTTGCATCTCAGAGAGTTGATGTTCACTTTGGGACTAAAACCCAGTACCATTCGCTTCAAACGCCATCGCGTTATCCACTCAGCTACTGAGTCCTGATAGCCACTTGCTTGTGCAATGGGGTGAATTTGAGTTCACTTGTTATTGGAAACGCGCGTCCTGGATTCCACTGCTAGCCACTATCCATCATTGCTTACTAATAGCTTGTGAATTAAGGTAATATCGAGGCATACGCACAGTATGCACATATGCCAATAACAGACTGATCAACTGCAGTCTTAAACCTCAATGGGAAGATACAAGCAAAACAATACCAAGTGAATATTGTTATTTGCAAATCAGTATATTTAAACGAACTCTTTGTTTTCTTATAAACTAGGACAACAAACAGTTCGTAGAAAGTAAAAAACTATCAAGAGATTGTCAGGTTGATTGATCAAAGCTTAAAATTCGTTATGCCATAGTTTTGTGGTAATAAATTATAGTCACTAGGTTATTTTGGTGTGTAGTTCTATGAAATAGAAATTCTGAATGAGATATTCAATTCTTGAAATAATAATAAATTAGGCTTTTTGTCTAAAACGTGTTTTTACTTCGGGTTATACTGTTTCTGTCCATAGATGTGCTGATATAGAGGTATTGATTTACGTTATCAATCACATAATAACCCGATGTACATTAGGTTCGAAGTCAAATGAATCGATCGAGTTGGTTACTTATAAAAAATATGTAGGTTAAACATTGTCGAACTTTAATATGAATGTACAGGAAATAATTGGTCTTTCAGACTCCACATAGGTCCAACCAGTTATTCAATGGATGCAGATATACTTTATTATAGTTTGCTGCATACATCGTCAAGTTTTAAGGCTTATGTTGTAAAAAGCATATTCCACATTGTCATATGACTCATATATATAAGCAAAAAATATGGTGCCTGTAAGACGTCGATTTACAAAACTAATAAATAACTTTGTCTAGTATATAAATAAAAAAATACTATGTTCAGGAAAACAATCGGTAATTTTTTGTTTAACAAGAGAAAAATATCTTGATGTCAAACAGTGATTATTCAAATACAGTGAAAATTTTTCATCCGTTTGTTGCTTGGATCTAATTTTATTTATAGCTGGTGTATGCTGTTTACAACATAATCGAATAAAAATTCACTTTTTTAGAAAGAAGAAATGATTGTGAATAAATTACAGTTGTTAACATCATACACGATAGGGAACACACTGGTAACTTTCAAAAGGCACAACTGTTTGCAAATTTCAGAAAATTGAAATTGTTTTTAGACGGTTTCATACAAACAAAAAGATACCACGAAACTGGAATTATAATGACTAAACTTGTTTAATGAACGTATAGTAGAAGTATGGAGAAACAGTTAGTACAATGAAATATGGGCAATATGCAGAATGTTTTCTATCATATAACCGGTGACTTTTACGTTTGCCTGACGAAATAACTTACTGAACGTTATACAGATGACCGACACTAACTAATAACTGCTAATGTTTATTTTGTTCTAAGTAATTCATAGGTCAAAGTCATTTCAAGTTTCCTACAGTCATTCTCAAAGTTAATAAGCAATGCTCTGCAAAAAAAGTCAAGCTGAGACTGTGCATAAAACCTGCGTAAAACAGTCAATATATAATTGTTCTTTTTTGGGTTCGCTCATCTACATTTATATTTGAACTAGTAACCCAGAAATCATAAACATTATCACTGACTCATTAAACATATCTACCATACGACTGTTAACGGTATCACTTCACCGTTCAGAAATAAGTTGACAGGAAAGATGTGAATAAAGTAAACATGACGAGCTATGGACTCAAAAACAGATTTAACCTTCACTATTTAATAACCCACCAGGTAATGAGCTATTTTTATAAAACACAGTTTAATAATACAGATATATGTATATGTACAAAGTGTTATTTCGTTTTGTCTTGCACTGTCAGTCCTATTTATAAAAATCGAATAAAAATGGTACCATCATATAAGTTTATCAATAAATAACGTTCAAAGATGTCTCAGCATAATCCCCACATAATAAGAGCTGGACAACAAGCATATATTCAAAGGTAGTGAGTTGAACAATAAGATAAGATAGAAATACACAATCAGATGTTAGAAACACGCTATATTTATATAAATAAGCTTTTAAGTGATCATATAAACTCGAGATTATACTGCTTGCATTTAAATGTTTTAAAGTAAATAAAAGAAAAAAAACTGGAAGACAATAAAAGTATCACTTATGAATGATTTCTCTAAAACAAGCACATACATTATGGAGTTCAAGAAATGAGTAAATATATGTGTACAAGTTTGTTAAGAACGTTTTGTGAAATGCAAAAATGGACACAATCAAAAGGTTATATAAAAAAATGGTGGAATGTGTTAACAAATATTTGTTGATACAGAACAATCAGAGAATAATATAATGGTAAGATAGGTAGTAAAAAATATGACATTTCACAATAATTTATTTATACTGACACAAAGAGATAAAGAACGAGATCGATAATTGTTCATCCAATTTCATGGGATAGGTGATAAAGTTGGCACTGTACGAGTATCTGTGGATGATCGACTTCTTAAAAAATTCCATTTCTTATAAGATGGTATACTAGGTGGTGATACCGTAGTGACTGGTGGAATAAAATTATTATTGGTAATGATTTGACTATGACGATGGGATGGTGAATGGATTGCATTGTCTGCTAATTCAGTAGGTCTACTAGCTAACCATCGTCCGCTTGATGGAAGTAAGTAAGTACAATGTTTTATAAGTAATTCTATTAAGGTATGTTCAAAAAGTGTTCCAGCTAAACAACTTATAGGATCAGTATAAGATGAACTCAGTAGAGTAGGTGATAGGACAATAGCTAAATTAGCTGCAGTCATCATATTCACATCTTGCTTTTCAGCTACTCTGTAAAAAATATTTTAAGAATGAATATTTTAACATCAAACTTTTAATTATGTGTCAATTGAAAAAAAAACTATATTAATAATGAGTATAATATACACTCCTTGAATAATTTTAATGTATAAGCAAACTTAATTACGTATTTTGGCAGCTAATATTTTTCTGTACTTTTCGGATTGTATATTAGATACAAATTTCCTCGCAGAGCTATGTAATCCAGCTTCCTTCATGTTAAGTTGTGCTTCATTTCAACAAACAGCTGTTCGTTAGTAACCTCATTCAGACAATTAATGACAGAACATACTGATGAGGACAACTAATAAGTGAAAATACGAGTAGTTTGTACTGAAAGCCTTAGTTTTGATAAAACTCTCTCATTTTCCATAATACAATGAAAACAAGAAGGCTATCCATGCTTGTAGGATTTTGAGGTGGTGACAAGGTGAAAAAAGAATATGATATGATCAGTAAGTGATTAATACATCAAAAAAGCTCGAAAATATATTAAGTGATTGAAACCTGGTACCATTACAATATTAACAATTTAAACATTTAAGAAAGTTTATTTATTATTACCTGTGTATATGGTTTATAAAATAACGCAAACTTTCATAATGTGCACCGGGTAAGCGAGCAAATATTTTTCTTAACAAATCTAATTTCTCTTGTTCATTCAGTCGATCATCTCCTACAAATGAAGTGTATATACAAAATTATTATCAAAGTTGGTATATCTGTAAAACTGAATAAAAACAACAGCTTGATCTAGTTGGATTCCGAATAGATAAAATAATTATCAATTGACCGAATTCAAACAAATTATCTACTACTGATTAGTACACTCCAGTAAGAAATAGGATTTTAAAAACTTATAAAAATAAATAATGATGATAATGTATAAAATTTCTAGGCCTACATTTTATGTGTACAGGTTGGAAAACCCTGAACCCAGAAGACTGAACAGGCTACGAAACCATGACTTAATGATTAACGCCCTGATATAAACACTAAATCATTGATGAGAAGAGAGTTTTATGGCAACCGATAAAGATTACCGCTTTTGTCTAACTATTCAGTCATTATGATGTTTGGTTTTAGAATGTGAAATTTTATTTCTACAATTTGCCTAATTAATAGGAAGTTTATATAACACCAAAGATGACAGCAAAAAACAATCTAGGGGGAATCGATCAATTAAAAACTAATGTGAATTCTTAAAACTCATGACTCTATTGTACCAGGAATCTGTTAAAAATCAGTTGAAAATGTTGTAAATCTTCATTGATTGAGGTTGTTAGAACAAGTATTATGTATGCCTGATCACTGCTACCTCGAACGGCGACGCCTTTTAGTCCGAAGGTAAGCTGCAAGAGACCTTGAGGCAGCCTAACCAAAACAGCATCGGTTCATGAAAACTGACTAACAGTAGACAGCCTGGTTAAGGTCTGTGTGATAACAGCGACCAGTGCTTGGAGATTTTGGGAGACCTTGTTTGAATTTGTTTACAGTTACAGTCACTGATTAAAATTCAACTAACTTATGCACCAGGAAATTAGAAATGAGCTAGTGATACTACTCGGTTGCTTAAACTGCAGTAGGTGGAGCGGTGTTCCACCCAGGAACTTAGAGGCCAAAATTTGAATTCCTTAACCATTAGGCCACAGCTCGATGCAGTCATTTTGTAAAACTCAACAGAA